CAACAGGCGAGCTGAAACTTTCGTATCTTATCAGCATTCATCTATGAAAATGGGATTGCTTTGCAACACAGAGCTGCATGTAGTCAGTTGCCAGCATGCAGGAGAATGAGATAGACACAGTATCTATATTTTTTAGCAGAGAAGCTACATTTTAGTAAACATGCTTAGAGCCTCACACTGGGATCAGTGTGAGAAAAAAATGTAATGCTGAAACTAATTGCTTGTTGTTGTTTTTTTGCAATATATAATTATCTTGTTTTTGTAACATTTAAGATCAAGTTCTGCAAGTAAAGCTTAAAAAACCTATTTCTTGTGTTAAATAAGATTTATTTCTACACAATGGCCAGACCAGAGGCATTCAAGCCTTGATTCTGTCCAAAATGTCCCACTTCAGCTCAGGATTCTTGCTTTGTCAAAAATTTCTGGGACACGTATATTGACTGGGCTATTAGCAGTTGATGTCTGCTAATATTGGAAACCATAGGTTTCCCTATGACTGGTTGATAACCCAGTGGAATGCTATATCAGAGCATTGTGCAAGCATCATAATGGTGGGTAGCTTGCAGGTACCTTGTCACAGTGGTGATATTTGCTCATGGACACTGGCAAGCCCACCAAACAGAAGGGTCCATCGCTATCAGAGGGAGCCCACTGGAGAGCATTTTTGCTGAGGGTCCCTTCACTCCTGATGTCAGTCTTGGACGAGGTCATGGAGAACGGGGAACTGGGCTTCATACATATGATGTTTTCTCTCTGTGTGTATTCACTTGAGTTATTCTATTTCATTTTAGTTTGTGTATCATTTTCCCCACAGGATTGAGTAGCACACATTTTAGGCCCTGCCAGACATTGTTCATCAAAAAATGAAATGCAATTTAAAGAGAGTGGATTGAGCATAGCCGCAGGGGGGAGTCATACAAAGTAGAAATATTTTCTGCAAGAGTTAATAGTGCAGTGATTCTATCATCTATCTGATATTGTCTGAGTAACCACATCAGTTGATGCATTGACTTGGTTTTCCTCTTAGTCTTTAAGCTCCTCTACAAAAGTAAGGCAATTTCAAAGCATGCTGCAAGAATGTGTTTGAAACAACTGTGTTTGCTCATAACGCTAAATTTTGTTAACATTATGAGAATGAGTCATGGGCTTTCCTGGGCTCACCCTCTTCCCCATCCCCATCATCGCCTTGTGTGGTCACAATAAGAAGATTGGCAGCTCTCCCTTTAGATCAACCACCATCAAACATGCTGTCAAAATGGTACTTAAACTTAACTAAGGTTTGTGGAGACCAGCCAGTTTCATAACCTTATGGTTTGAAATCGTCTTGTTTCAGACAAACCACAGGTTTAGATTATGTGACAAACTCTGGTTAAACAGAAATGGAAGTGGTTGCTTCCAGACCCCTCCTCACTGGTATTCCATAGGAGAAGTAGGGAGTGTGCAACCCCAAACATGGGTCAATCATTGTCTTATAATGCTCTCTATGTCCAAACCAAATTAATACATTGGAATGTGAGATATTACCTCCTCCCCATTATCCTATTCAAAATGCCATTATCACTGAAGAGTAACATTTTGAATTTGAATTTTAATCTGTAGGTTTACTTGTACATGCGTCACAAATGAGGCATTCATTTTTCCTTGATGATCACCAAAAGTGCTTCAAGAATTTTTGTTTTTGTTTGCACTCATTGTAAGGAGTTCCATTAGTGGTCCTACTTAAAAAAAAAAGAAAGATCTTTAGCTGGATCTTCAAAATATTTTGAAAAGTAAAGACTTTGAGAATAGGGTGGGTGAGAAATCTCAATAAAACAAAGCATCTTCACTTTTAAATAAATTCCATTAATGAAGGTGGTATTCAGAGTTTCCCGTCATAAATCAGGTTTCTTGTTGTTTGGTTCACCCACATAAATATGCATACAACTAAGAGGTGACCTTGTACATTGCATTACCTTTTAGTGATATAATGAGTTGTTTTATGCTGCAAAACGGGTTGGGGAAGCGATAAGGTCTGGGGAAAAAAGCAATTTGAAATGAATATAGTTTTTTGGAAGAAACACCCAAAGGATATTTGGAGAAGGAACAGTCAGAGGACATTTTTGTACCCAGCAATAATGAAAGTGTTCTAACCTCCTTGAAAAATGATCAAAAGCCCCCAAATGTTCTTTCATATTTTCATTCATGAACGCTATTTCATTAGTACCAAAAATATGTTTTAGACTAATAGACAATAATAGCCTACTCTCCGTGTAACAAAAGGTTCCTACCTAATTAGCATTATTATTTAATCTGTAGAAATCCAAGCTTCTTTGGAAAGTTCAGCATAGCTTTATTGGTGTTCTCAATGACTTCTCATCCACACCAAAATCAGGTCACACTTGCTTAATTTTAACAATACTATGGAGTAAGATGCCCCTGGTCTCAAATCATTCACTAGGCTTAATGAGCTCCCTAGCAAAGGTAGGCATTTACCTTCACAACAGATATCTAGAATGGGATGTCAGCTGAACCTAAGAAGACATTTCCCTGGGATCCAGCCTTTCCCAGCATATTCCACCTTTTAATCCCCCCCACACACCAGTGCTATGGAAGCTAGGAAATAAGAAGAGAGACTGATCTAGCCCTCTTGCCCAAATAACTAGGTAGACCCAAGAGTCAAGGTATCTCCACATTCGCAGAGGGGCAGATCAGCCAAGGAAACGCTCCAACTTTCTGTATTTCAAGGAATTTCTCCAAAGCCCACCTTAGAGGCAGTAGCAGAAAGCATTGCTCAGCATGGTTCACTTAGCTTGCCCACATCAGGAACATGAGTGGCAATGTGGGTAAGAAAAAAAACTATCACAGATAGAAACCACTTTGTTGCTGGGTTTCAACCAAGCCATACAAAACACCTTATAGGAAGAAGGAAAAGCAAGCAGAGAAGTGTAGAAGGGTGGCAGAGGAGGTGAGGTGGCAACAAAATTGTGTCAGTCCTGAACTGTTTTGAGGATCTTGTTTACATTGTGTCAGCAATCAAGGCAACTTTGATTTTTCCATACTCTGCTAAGCTGCTTTTTCTGAATACACCTGTGACTCTTTTGTTGGGGCAATTTCCAGCTAATTTGTATCAATCACATTGTCAAATGTGCCTTACCATTTATGCAATGTGTTTCATTATATGTAGGGTTTTTCCTGAATTATTTGGTATTTTGATTTCAGTCCCTTGGAACATCATTCTACTATTTATGTTATATGACATGCTACATTATCCATTTCAGTATGCTTCTGTAAATCTGGGAGCTCATGACCAGGAGATTTTGACCAGGACTTGCAAACAGGGATGTTTGTGAGGGCTTGGTGGTAGAGACTGAAAAGAGTGAGCTTGTGTCTTTTGAATTAAGGTTGGTTGTTTGTCTGAGCTGTTTGGAAATTTGATTGTGAGTTTGTGGGTGTGGGTGACGAAACATAAGGAAGAAATTTCTGGTGGTAAGACCTGTTCAGCAATGGAATGGATTCTATTGGAAGGTGATTGACTCTTCCTCATAGAATGGCCATATGTCATTTAGGTGATTGAACTAGATGATGCTCAGGACCCCATCTAATTCTCCATTTCTATTATTCTATATAACAGTGGCATGGCTGAACACATCTCACTGTCTTTCACATGGTCAAAAACATGGCAATTTGGATTTTTAAAAATGATTATGTGTTTATACAGTGGTGGCTCAGTTTACGAACTTAATCCGTTCCAGAAGTCCCTTCTTAAACCGAAACCGTTCTTAAACCGAGGCACACTTTCCCTAATGAGCCCTTCTGCCACCGGTGCCCTTTCAACATTCAGATCCTGTTCTTAGACCAAGGTAAAGTTCGTAAACTGGGACACTATTTCCAGTTTTGTGGAGTTCTTAAACCAAATTGTTCGTAAACAGGACTGTTCTTAAACCGAGGTACCACTATATATCACAATTGTTGCTGTTGTTTTTAAATGAAAGTATTTTAATTCATTCAAAAAGGACTTAATTCAGGAATGTCCTGATTGCTAGATAGTGCCTACCAGCTCCCACTCCTCTGAATCTTTGTTTGGTGCAAAGAATGTGAGGAGATGAAGATTAAAAAAATTGACCTTGCAGAATTATACTGCTGACAGTTTTCAACCTATCCTGAACCATTCAGAGAGTTTGACCCTACAACATTTCAAAATTCTATTTTGCTTGAGCTACAGAGTTATAAACACGGGAATTGCTTCAGGCAAAATATTGTTATTTCAGAATGAGGGTGGATTCAGTTATTAGGCATGGTGAGGTTTAGAGGTGCACAGCTTGAATCCATCTTTAGGCACCTAAAATAATGGCATTCACATTTCAACAGTGTTTGTATAGTGTTCTTATTGGAAAACCAAATATATGGGATACCTTACCTATTCCTTCCCCTGGGCTGTTTTAAAGCCTTCGGCATTTTACTCTGTGAGTTTATTTCAATGCAGCTGTTAAATCTTCTGCAGCCATGGGAAAGCTGGAAATGAAATGGCCCTGATTGAGATCTACATTTTTCACAGCCTTATGGCTAGGTTGCCAAGGTGAGTCACGTTCAGATATGAATATTGAATGTAATGAACAAACAGGACATACAATAATGCATTTTCAGGAATTATATATAACAGGGATGGTGGAGACTGGTCCTACCACCCAATGTGAAATACAGCTTTCCATCTGAAAATAATACATACGTTTGTATCAACACACACACACATACATCATGACCACCACTATATCATACACATGGTTAGTGATATCAGATACTTGATCCCTCCCACACATTATATTCTAAGCAATGTACAGAATTGGGGGGGGGGTTAATACTTTTTGTGTTGTTCCCCTTAGCTGTCATTCAGAAGGCTGTGATGTGCTTTGATTAACACTGGAGAAAATATTGTGTTTCCATCAGCATGGAAGCTCTCACACATGGTACTACAATCATGACTTGCTCCTGTCTTTTGTCTCTATCATTTGGTATTTTGAAGTGGGTAGCTCAGTTGGTTAGAGTGTGGTGCTATTAATGCCAAGGTCACAGGTTCGATCCTCGTATGGGACAGCTGCAGATTCCTGCATTGCAGGGGGTTGGGCTAGATAATCCTCAGGTTCCCTTCCAACACTACAATTCTATGGTTCTATGAAGTGCATGACCCATATATATAGAAGTACCTGATTAGCTATTATAGTGAATACCTGTTGGTAGAACTCTCTTCCCTGAATTTGTCTCGTCTATTCTTAGAGGATTGGGGTTTGACTGGGGATGGGCAAATCTGCCTGCTTTGTTTCCTCCTGGTTTTCTATGTTTTGAATGTTCAATTCTCCACATTTCTGCATGTTTGAGATCTTTTTAACATCCTCATGAAAATCCATCAGCACCTTTGTGTGAATTTCTCCTGATACACAGAAGTTTGTCAAAGGTATATGTTTTTTTCATGAAAATTCCCCTAATACAATGCACTTTTTCATCCCATTTTCAATAATATATGCACTTTAATGTACACTTTACCTTGTATATGTATTTTTGTACACATTATTTGATTTGAAAACTGCTTTGGAAAATTTCCAACAGACTCTGTGTGGGCACAGAAGTCTCTGAAGTTTTTGTTATTCATGTAGCTTGAGCTGGGTAGATTGGAAGTGATGCAAGACAGACAGCACCATTTATTATTATTTTTTTGCTAGTGATGCAGAGTCTGGTCTAAACTGCAGAACTGCAGAGTCTGAAGTCTAAACTTAGTTTGGAGCTTCCTAGCTAATGATGAGCTGAGTACAGTCATACCACAGGTTGAATATGCTTCATGTTGAGCGCGTTCAAGTTGTGCTCCGCAGCAACTCAGAAGTAACGGAACGCGTTACTTCCGGGTTTCGCCGCTTGCGCAGACGCTCAAAATGACATCGCGCGCATGCGCAGAAGCGACAAAAAGTGACGTGCGCATGCGCAAACGTGCTGTCACTAGTTACGTTTGCTTCTGGATGCGAATGGGGCTCCAGAAAGGATCCTGCTCGTATCCAGAGGTACCACTTTATACACAAACAGGAGTTTGGGATCAGCTCAGCATTACTTCAGTTCTGGGTTTAACAGATGCTTCCTCTGATGCAGCAGTTTTCCCTGACCCTTTCCTACTAAAATGTTTTTGAAAGCTGTGGCAATACTGAGAAAGGCTTCTTCTGTAGCCTTTATTAAGCTCTGGAGAAGTATGATGGGAAATGTAGTTTCACAGGACTCTTGGGTCATTCCTAAGATTATCTAACAGTGCTTCGAACCTCTAGAACATGCCTGGTACAAATCTGTAGTCTCCCTCACTGTGATTTGTGTGTCCAAGCTTGCAACTCTAATTTGCCCTATCATAACCCCCCTTTTGGCAGCCTCCTTTCCAGTATTACGCAACAACTCTATTGTTTGTGGCTCTTCAGAAGAGTGTTCAGACAGTATAAGATGGTGTGGTGGCATCACTCACTGATCTCTAGCAGGTCATTTATCGATACTTACTGGGAGGTAGAGAGGGAGAGGAGAGGCAGTGGCAAAGTTGGCATAGTGCAAACACACTGGGAAAAGCACCTGATTGACTCTGCTAGTGCATTTGCACCACACCAACCTTGTTGCTGCCTTGTCCTGTCACTTTACCTTCCAGTAAGCAGCAGTGATCCAACTAACCAGAGGTCAGATGAACGAGGGGAAGGTAATAAACAAGTGTCTCTGACAGTACTTTCTAAATAGGTATACAGCGAAGGAAATAAAGGTCCGATACTACTAATGTTTCCCAGGACAACGTCTTTCATCTTTTTTGGTTTCCTTTGCCCTGAAAAAATGGTGATAAAGACAGAATGCATTTATGAGGCATTGAGTGACTTCGGGGGCACATTATTTCATATGTTTAGATGCTGAAAGATAAGCAGAAATATGCTTTAAGCAGCATTTCAGATTTCATAGTGCTATGGAGCATCTCTGAATAGTTCTGACACAGAGCTTCCATTGTGTATAGGGATGAAACTGTGAGTAATAAATTCTAGATAAGGAGACAAGTTATTCTGTCCTGTCATCGTAGAGTTCTTGATATGTTGAAAATTTGTTGTTCTCATAACTCAAAGGAGCTGCACTGTTTTTGTTGTTGTTTTGCTTTATGTCTTTGGAAGTCAGTGAAAGACAAGACCATAAATTCTCCAGAGCCAATATATTTAAATGATGTTGCCATCTCTGTGATACCTGAAATAAAAGGTGAAAAATAGTGCATCAAAGCGTATGTCATGTTTACTTTAATAAATACCAATGTGTGTTCTGCTTTAATTTATAAACTGTTCATTAATTGAGGTGACATTTATAACACAGTGTTATAAAACAGGTTGATGTTGCCTTGCCAATCACAGAAGTGAATAAGAGTGTCAACTAAGGGATTACAATTCTAGAAGTGTTAGCTTCAGATATGTCATCTTGAAGAGAAACCCACCGCCTGATTTTTTGAACAAGGGACATACTCTATCTTCTTGTTGGCTGGCTGGCATGCCCTGCATCTCCACAGCTACACAGCTGCCCCCTCCCCCTTTTAAAAAAAGACCTTTAACTTGGTTAACTATTTCAGATGGCTTAAGGAATGCATGGATAGATCCATCCATGTTTTTAATGGGAGCTTATTGGCAAGATGTGGAGATATTACACACATCAGACTCACCACATGAAAATTTCATTTGAGGATTTTTGAGATCTCCAGCCTGAAGATCTGTAAACTACTTGGGGCTGAAATTTTGCTTGGTGTCTAGTTATACTGAGGAAACTAGCCAAGGGATTAGGTGGGGTCTGGAAAGCATGTTCCTGAAGGTAGCCAATGTACTATAACCATTAAAGAGGTGAACCTAAGACCTAGGAGACCAGGGGTCAAATCCCCACTCAGCTATGAAGCTCACTATGTGACTCTGAGCTAACAGTCAGCCTAATGTACATAACAGGATAAAATAGAAAGGGAGAGAACCATGCATATTACCTGAAACTCCTTGGAAGAAAAGTGAGATAGAAATGTAACAGAGGAAAGATGTAATACAAATGTAATCATAATCATTATCAAGTTAATGTGACAAAATTCCCTGATTTTCCAGAATAACATAAATAACATAAATGATGTGTTCCCATTTACATTACTTACATATAATACTCCTGTTTTAAAGTATATTATTTTGATGTTTGGAAATTGTTCCCTGGTGTGTGTGGCGGGGGGGGGGGGGAGGGATAGCACATGTGCTTGGATCCAGACTCTGAGCTGCTGTGGCTGCTTCTAATTGCCTACCATATTTACATTTTGAGCCCATTGTGATGCCTGTACGTAACAGTACCATAAACGACAATATGGGTGCAGCAGGGGCAAGCCATAGATGCAGCTCGTATATGATAATGGGAAGAGGAGCTGAAAGCATTGAGAGCAGGTTTCAACATCTGGAACTGCCTGATTTACACTACAGAAGATGTACTTATTTTCAAGCCCAGTTTCTGCTTTTACGGGCCTTAATCGGAAGCTGTGTGCTCACAGTTCTGGGCAAAGTAAAATGACTTCCTACTGCAGTATGTTTCTGGAAGTGAATTAGCTCACAACGATTTCAGTGAAGACAGTTTGTTTGTTTGTTCCACTATAGGCAGGCACCCCAGTATCAACCCAGCACCAGTCCTCTTTGGGATAATTCCATTCAGCTTGGGGGAGATATTTTATCCTGGCTAGGCATCCAATATATGGCTTATCGTGACTTCCAATTTGTTTTTCTCTGACCATAGCCCCCGCCCACTGCCCAAATGGAAATCCTGCAAAGAATTCTATTCAGTTAGATAGACTTTAGTTCATTTTCTTCTGTGTGGAGTTTAATGCTGTTAGTACTGAGGATGCCTGCTAAGGCTGTAGGCCATTGTAACCAGCTGGTTCATTATGGCATCTTTCTACAGCACTGTTCATTGATTTCTTTCTTCACCCCAACCTCGGTTTGTCTGTTTCTTCCCTCAGTAGATCAAGGCTCCAATATTTAGCCTCTAGAGCTAAACTTTATGTCAAGTAAATTAATCCCTTGGTAGATGAATTGTAAGTCAACAGGATAGTGGAATGACGTCTGTTGATGAGGCAGCTTACAAGCTCTGAAAGGAAGTGTTCTTCAGACTTTTGGTACAAATATAGAGAAAGAAAAAGAGGACTTTAGTAGAAGTATAGAGAAAGAGCTACAATCCCCCCCACTTTTATGAAATATTGTCCGTGCAGCAGATGTTAAGACAATATGAATCTGTTTTAATGATTGTTTCAGTGAATATGGAAAAGGATTCACAATCTGCCCTCTTCCAAGATTTTCATGGATATTGTATGCTGAAAGAAATTGGTTGAATGTGTATTAATGCCAACACCTATCGATGTTGCAAAATGTAGTGATGATAACAATGACTTTGGATCAATCCAACTGCATGGAAAAAGCCCAGTTAGTTCTTAGTGAGCAAACCCTGGTGCATACAGCCAGATTGCTTTTCATTTTCTCCTGTGTATAGCTTGGTTCATAGGGCCAAGAGAGCTTACTTTCCAGTAACTCTTAAATAAGAATTATCTAACTATTTGTTAATGTATTATTATCGTTTTAATCATAAGGGCCTCTTTGAGATGCTGTTCTGGCTTAACAGTAAAACTTTGGTGACTGAGTGAACTGTGGTTTTTTTTTTCATGCTAGAACAATTTAATAGTATGCATGCTCAAATGATCATTAAAACAGAATTGGTTTCTACAAAACCCTTGGCAAAAAAACAAAACAAAGGCTAAAACTTATTAGGTGGTTAAACTTCCATGAATTATTTGACCAGCTCTAATTAAAACCTTTCAGGAAGTTAAACCTTAGACATTTAATTTTACACACCTGAAATAAAGCATACAGTAGCTAAATGTATAATTCATATCAGCTTATCTAACCAATTTAAATCTCTTTCTATTTCTGATGTCTCCACTCTTCTAAGTGATTGTGCAGGGAACACGCATCGAATATTTTCTTGATCATCTGAAAAGGGTTATGTGGGAGTAGCAGTAATCACAATTCACCAAGCATAGATGAATA